AGATCTTTAGTTTGACATGTTGGGCGTATTCTTTGACGTGTCAGAGCTGCTAGCTGGCCTACAAGTACGTCAGCATTAACGGGCAGCTCAGTTTTCAGGTGCAGCTCTGCAGTGAGGTGCAGCGTGCGCTGTGATTGGTCAGTGGGCGAGCACGTGACTATCGTGAACCGAAACTTAACTTGCCAGCAGAGCTTAGTTGGAGGAGTAAGAGTTCAAATTGAAAGATATGGAAGAAATTATAACATCTTTAGGGTTTTGCTTGGTGTAGATTATTATTTCTTTTTTTACCTAGCTTTGTTTTTTGAACACTCAATGCTGAATAAGGAGGAGAAACGGATAAGGACATTTCAGGAAAAGCTGGACATTGTAAGAAATGGTCAGTCAACCATAGCTGGCAGCCTGACTCAGCCAGGAAAAGGATTTGTATGAACTGTATTTCTTGCTGACAGCGTCGGAGAAGCGTTGCACATTTTATGGCTAAGAAGGCGTTTCATTTTAACTGAGCTGTTGTTGTTTGGAGCTATGCTACGCTAACCTGAGGACACCATAGCACGGCAGGATACTACGGTGCTTTTGAAAACTTTTGGAGAAACCAGAGTGGATCTACAACTCAACGAACACGTTCGCAGGGAAACAGCTCCACAACCGCGCCGGCGGAGGTCTGCGCGCCGGCGGAGGTCTGCGCCCCGGCGGAGGTGGGATCCCGGCCCCGCTACGAACCGGCCGTCGCAGACCAGCGAAATACAACTGGGGAGGCTCGACTGACATCACTGGCGTCCATGAATGGAGAAGGACTTCTTACTGGAACTGAAACGATGTACCGTACAACCGTGGGATTGAACTCTTTAAGAAAGAAAGGAGGATGGAGTTTGTCTTTAAGTGAACAGCACTTGGTAAGTGAAGTGCGTTTGTTTGTTTGCATCTGCAGTAACGTTACTACTGTTCATTTGTCTATCGTGTGGTTTTTATGAATAACATTTGAATGGCTCGTGCTCTTGTGTGGTGGAATGCGTGGATCCGCTGCAGGTCTGCTGGATTGATTTGTTGCTTTGTTGTCATATGAACATATGTGACTGGTTCTTGTGAGTTTGTCATTGTGTTAATTACGTAGATTTGACGATGCATTCTGTTAATGACACAGCGTCCCGTCATGCACGGATTCATGTATCTGGACCATAGCTGTTCAACTGTAGCAGGACAGCACAGGAGGCCCAGGCATAGAATGCACGGCCCGCCACTGCAATGAGCACTACAGAGGTACACACACACTGATAGTGAGTCGTGTGGAGGAGCAACAACATTTGTATACTTAATACTTTTATTTTTTACTCTGTTACAGCAAAAACAAATATACTAAAGTAAATAAATTTGGGGATTAATAAAGTATCTATCTATATGTATTTATATATACACATATATATTTATATATGTATATATATTTATATATACACATATATATTTATATATGTTTATTTCTCTACAGGGACCTTCAGTCTGTGGTGTCATCCTAAGTTTGAGGACCGCTGTCACTCCGTGGTGGAGTTCATAGAAAGAGCCATCATGCACTCTAAGAACGGGAAGTTCCTCTACTTCCTGCGCTCCAGAGTCCCTGGTAACCAATCAGCTCCCACCTGTCTGTCTCCACCTGTCTGTCTCTGTCTGTCTGTCTCCACCTGTCTGTCTCCACCTGTCTTTCTCCACCTGTCTCCACCTGTCTTGAATTCTTTCTCATATTTAATCTCTGAAATAAAATGTTTCATTCTGTCTGTTTCTTCTTCTTGTTCATCATGTACTGTATAAATAAAGTTGTGCTTGTTTGATGACGGTCTGTGTTTGGGTCCAGGTCTACCCCCGACCCCGGTCCAGCTCCTGTACCCGGTCTCCAGGTTCAGCAGCGTTAAAACTCTGCAGCATCTCTGTCGCTTCTGCATCAGACAGCTGGTCCGGATCGACCACATCCAGGAGCTGCCTCTGCCCACGTGAGTCCTTCTGATGTCCTCTCATGTCCTCTTATGTCTTGTACTGGGTACAAGTACATGTAGTGAGTATATACCGAGTGTGTTTTTAACATGTTGGTTCTGTCTTCAGGCCTCTGATTTCCTACCTGAAGAAGTTTTATTACTACGACCCCGAAGAGGAGATCAGCCCGTCGCTGAAGGAGAGAGGACCGGAGCCCCGGATGCGGCCGGTCCAGCAGGGGGTCCAGCCAGTCCAGCAGGGGGTCCAGCCAGTCCAGCAGGGGGTCCAACCGGTCCAGCAGGGGATCCAGCCAGTCCATCAGCGGGTCCAGCCGGTCCCGCAGGTCCAGCCGATTCAGCCCGTCCAGCAGGAGGTCCAGTCAGTCCTGCCAGTCCAGCAGGGGATCCAGTCTCAAACGTAGCATTGGAGCCTCAGAGAACCAAGTGAGTCACAGTTTTAACATGTGAAAACAGTTTAGTCATTCACCCAGTAGAGGGCGGCAGTAGAGACAGAAAGCGTTGAATTTCTATGATCATTTCTTTTATTAAATCGATCGAACAAGTGACACTAACATTGAACAAAAATGAGGCTCCATCTGCTCTAATAATAGAAATAATTATAATAGTAATTATCATTATAATTACTATTATAGTGATAATGATAATACTATTCATTGTAATAATATCACATAATAATAATATTTTTAATTATTATTATAACCTTCTCAACAATAATAATAATTATTATTATTATAACATTCATAACAATAACACTAGTAATTATAACAATAATAATAAAACCATATTGAACTACTAATGTCTCATCCTGCAGTTTGTCATTTTAACATATAACATTTATAATATTATACAAGTACTATTATAACTGTTTACTTCTTTATTTATGAATGTGTTTCTTCTTCTTCTCCTCCAGTTCTCTTCTTAGTTTTTACATTGGAAACGATCAGCTGACTGGAGGACTCGCAGCCAATCAGCTGCCTTCGCTCGGCCCCGTATCCGGGCGGGTTTCAGATGCTCTGGCCTCCTCTAGTGGAGTGTCTACACGGAGGGACAGGTGGACGCAAGAGACTCCGCCTCTCTGATGATGTCATCACCGAGCAGCCGGACTAACGATGACATCGCTGTTGGCAAAGCCGAGCTCATTGTTGACGAAACGTTCCGTCGACCTTTAGGATCCAAAACACGGAAGTTCATCTTTAAAATCATCTCGACTTCACCGGAGCTTTCAACCACCATGAGGATCTTCTTCATCGTGTTTCATGCTGCTGAGGACGTGTTCTACTCTTTAGAATGTTTATCTTTCTCTCGTCAAACACACCAGACTCCATCCATAAAAACAGTGACTTAAGCTCTCAGGTTAGCAACATGCTAACGCTAGTCCGTCACAGCGGCTCCTCTGAAACCCGTTCGCGTTCAGTCCTCAGGATCTATTCTTTCAGGTAGCATGCTAGTTAGCTCAGTGGCTAACGGCATACGTCCTCCTGACTGAGAGTTTAGAGTTCGTTATGAGCTACGCTAGCTTCCTTCTCTTTGGACCAATCAGAGGTCGGCTCTGTCATGGACGGCTCTTCATTGGTCTGCAACACAAATTCAGCGTGAGCTCGTTAAGGGGGTGAAGCTTGAACCTTGAGGTGTGATTGTTTTGTGATGAACAGAGACCGGACGAGTCCCGATGAAGACGTTCATTTAAAGTTCCTCTTCTTCATCTTCAACAGTTTACATCATTTTCAGACAAACATTTCTGAACTGATCTCTGATTTCTTGTTACTGGAACAAGCTGGACTGGACTTCTATTGATTCACACACTGGTAGATGAAATGTGGCAAAATGATGTCATCACCTGTTAATAAACAGAGTGGGAGGGGCTTAAGGTCTCTGTTGTTTTTTTATTTATTAGATAAAAAATGTTTTCTAGAGATTCATCAGTCAAAATATATCATAAAACATTCTTCTACATAAACGTCCCTCATCAGGTGGATCACCAGGGTCCAGATGAATGAGTTTCACATGATGAAAACAAATACCGTTTATTGACGAGTAACAAAAACCTTTAATTATTCATTTATCTATTTTTTAAAGGTGCCAGATCTGAGATTCAACTAATCTCAACGTATCGAAGGCGGCTCATACATAACAGTGCGATCAGCGTTAACAGAGCTAACGGTGCTAATAGAGCTGATAGAGCTAACGGTGATAACAGCATAACGACGCTAACAGTGGCCTGGGCCCCATTCCTCGTACGTGGCTAACTGAGTTAGCCGGATAAGATGACGTAGATCAGGCTTTTCGGGTCCACGAAGCAAGTTTGGCAAAATCACCATGGCAACACATCCATAAGCTTGAAGCTGCTCCAGCGCAGGCTAACTGAAGGTAGCTGGATAAGCTGCCACTCCCCCGGAAAACATGGCAGCTCCTGTCATATACGGTAGTCTAATGCGCTTGCGCATATACCGGGGGTTATACGGGAGTTCCAGAAATGCATGTAAAGTGAGACACACGTGATCCATTAAAGCAGCTGAGCAAACTAAGAAGCCTCTATTGCATTAATGTACAGCTCCCTTCCTCAGAGATCCACTGATGAAGGAGGATATTAGTTAGATTAGCGTTTTATAGGGAGAGAGTTCTTCCACATCGCCAAGATCCGTTATCACATCATGAAGACTTCCTATACGAGCGCTATCCATTCTGCCCACAAGGAATCATTTATTTACAGACCTTCTGGAGCATACATTGAACACCACACGCTGCAGCCGAGCACTGATGTCTCACACGCTGGATGCAGCCTTGAGCTGTTCTGCGAGTGGTACATTGTTGTACAGTGTCGGCGATGCGGAGAACATGGGGAAAGCCGCTGCATGCCGTGCTGTTGGTAAAGTTTATTAGGTGCTTAATAAACTTATGGATGTGTTCATTACATCACCATGGCACATATTGTACTGACTCAGCATTCTGAGTAATGTGTGTGTGTTAGTGTTTACTTGCTCCCATGTCCTCTTGATGGCTGCGTTGCATACATGAGGGTTAAAGCACTCATAATGATATGACAGTGTTATTAGTACACCAGCATATCATTACTGTAGAACATGATGAAGGTGGACTCATGATAAGAACAGAGAGAATCACACACTATTGATCTTCACTGCTTCAGTTGATTGAATGTCTGATGATGAATAATACACACACACACACTGATCCGCCCACACACAGATTCACACACACAGATTCAAACTAGTTCTATATGGTGATCTACACATACATGTATATACACATATATAGTACATGATACATGAGGGCATACAGTACATATATCCTCATATTAATGAGGATCAGTAGATGCTCTTTGGGCTTGTTTTTATCTTATTGTGAAAGAGTTGAGATCATTATTGTCGCTATAGATCTCATTGGATGATGCATTCATTAAGCCTACTGCCAGCAGCTCATTTAAAGACATATCATCTGATTGATTGGGGTGATGAGGCATTAAAATGAGCCGATACATTTACAACACTTACGCATTTAACGTGTGTGTGATATTTTGCGTGCTTCTTGTCTAGCCCTCGCAGCGGTGGTGGTGTTATATTTAGCCGTGATTATGGTCTTGAATTCCTCATATGCATTCATGATCATCTCCTGCTCGTCAGCGGAGTAAAAAGAGGCTCTTTCTTTGACTTTATTTAACATTGTGCTGTTAGAAAATCATGGTTTCGGTGATCGACGCTTCCCCCTTTTGAAGCAGGACGGGCACGCGCAATTATCCTGATCCTGATCGTCTGGTTCCAATTAACGAGACTGTTTGAGAGGATCAGCCTTGGAGAAACCGAGATAGCCTGATGTCAATCATCGGGTTAATTTAGGCTGCTAATAGGACATTTGATCGACTTAGCTGAACCATGTATGAGGAACGGGGCCCAGGAGGGTTCCACTAACTTGTTTGATAAATTATTGATCTGAATGTTGAATACCTTTTAATTTGAACACATTATTTAAACAAAAGTAGATTTCAGAAGCTTTCATCTGGAAACACAAACCGTTCTATTATCACTTTAATATTTCATTATTTTAGGACAGTTTAAACCTGAATAACTTTGATATTCTGGTGTGTTTCCTATAAATATGAGTGTTTGGGTTCTGTCTTTCTAGATCTCTAGGTCTCTGGATCTCTGGATCTCTAGGTCTCTGGATCTCTAGGTCTCTGGATATCTAGGTCTCTGGATCTCTAGGTCTCTGGATCTCTAGGTCTCTGGATCTCTAGATCTCGATCTCCAGATATCTAGGTCTCTGGATCTCTAGATCTCTAGGTCTCTGGATATCTAGATATCTGGATCTCTAGGTCTCTGGATCTCTAGGTCTCTGGATCTCTAGGTCTCTGGATCTCTATGTCTCTGGATCTCTATGTCTCTGGATCTCTGGATCGCTAGATATCTGGGTCTCTAGGTATCTGGGTGTCTGAATCTCTAGATCTCGATCTCTAGGTCTCTGGATCTCTAGGTCTCTGGATCTCTAGGTCTCTGGATCTCTAGGTCTCTGGATCTCTATGTCTCTGGATCTCTGGATCGCTAGGTCTCTGGATATCTGGGTCTCTAGGTATCAGGGTGTCTGAATCTCTA